TGGTGGTGTATAGAGCCAAAGATGTTAGAGTTGTGTCGATGTCCCAATATTTCTGGACCTGACTGTAAATGGCAATTATTTAGTGGGCATGCAGTTCTTGTAAGAAACTTTAATTGTTCTGAAATGAAACTTTAAGTTGTATTTATGTAGAAGCTTTGTGTTTTGTTTTTTAAGGAAGGCAATACAGCACATTCTATTATGATCTATTTTATCTATTTAAACCAAATTGTGAGAGGAAAGAAAAGCTCTTTCAGTTTGATAGCATTAAATTTCACATTTTCTTTCAATATTTTCATATCATTAACTGTCTAAAATATGAGCATAATTAACCTTACAGGACTAAAGGCGGATTCTTTTCTGGAATTCCTCTTTCCTTAGAAGGAAAAAGCTGTCTGAATGTACTACTGGAAACGACCAGCTCATAAGGAGATGGGTCTTCCTGAGGAGACGGACATGACTATGATGCCTGTTGATCTCAACTCTTAGATTGCAGGCATTGCAGGGTAGAATCTAGGGATCCAGGAAGCCCTATGAAAGCAGCCACATTTTTCAAATAAAATTTGCTTTCAAGTAGTTGGCAATATTAAAACTGAGATGCAAAATACTCTCCCTCTTCATTATTATTTAGTGTAAAAAAATATAAAAAATGACAACATAGTGGCAAGTATAAGGAAGAAAAAATGCATACTGTTCTAGGATATGGTGAAATGATTTTGTACTTAAATCTAAAATATGAATCTGAAGTAACTAAATCAGTGTGGTTGTTAATTCTGTATCCCAATCCTCTGAACAGTATAATTCTTACATTTCTATACAAAAGTGACGCCTGTTGCTAGAATTTAATCCCTAGTAAGTTGAATTGGACAGTAGCCATTTGGACAGAACATGTGTTTGTGTGAATGAGTGTCAATGTGTGTGTATTTGTCTTCATTAATTTTTTAGATGGCTATAAGGCCAACATGATATCTAAACAGTTCTATATGTATCATTTTTAATAGGGTTTTTTAATATTAATACTTTAAAAAATATAATATTTTTAATATACTTTTTCAAGTATACATAGCAATATGTAAAAAGGCACATAATATTTATGCTGACAAAATAGAAAACCCCCAGAAGACAGCCCATAATCAGAATGGAACATCTACAGTTTATGAAGTATAAACATGACCTGTATGATGCAAAAGGTCACTGGTCCCGCATCTTTTTTTTTTTAAAGTTCTTTATCCATCAACAAATGGTGCAAGATTCTTATTTTCTGAGAAATTAACGGAGTCCTTAAATTGTGTACAAAGGAACAATAACAAGTCCAAATAAGGGGAAAAGTTATGTGTAATTTCTTTTCCTTTATTACATCAAATGAAACAACCAAATACATGTGTGCATTTAACTATGAAAATAACGTGGAATAACTATATTAATAAAGGAGGGAAAGGAAAAAAAGAGGTAGAACTTCACCTCATAAACAAAACACATAAAAGAATTGACTGTATTGAACAAAAGCATCCTTCATTAACCTTTGCCTAATAATAATAATTCAAATGTTGACAAATAACACATATCAACAATCTACTGCTGCAGAACAGGTGCAGGTTGATTTAGCCTTCCATTATTCCTTAAAAATATTCCATCCCTCTTGCAAAATAGGTTCTAAATCCTAGGGATTTAGCCAAGAAGGATATATGGATATATTCTTGACATTCAGCAACTGATCTAAAATCCATTGGTAACAATAATAGGATAAAATCAATCCATGTGAGTAAATGTTCCCATTCCTGAATTTCACCTGCAATAATATAGTGATTACAAGCAAACTTTAGTAAGTGTCACACTTCAATCCCCTAATATCGCTAACAAATATGAAACGTCATAACAATAGAATTAGGAGCAAAAAGTCCAAATAACAATGAAGTTGAAAAATTTGCCAAGAAGCATTCTGAGCTAAATTTAAAAGTTCCAAACACCAGTTCATTAGAACTGGGTCATTCTAAAATCTAAATCTAAAATTTATTAAATTTACAGACCACATTTTAATCCAGAATTATCTCTAACATAAATGTTTATCATCAGTAGAAATGTCCAAATTATGCCTGCAACCAAATATATTCCACATAACCATTTACTTAAATTGCAGTCTTAGGTGCAGGTACTAAAACTGATTTTGAGCAAGCAAGAATCCCAATACTTGCCAAGATTACAGTCAAATAGTAACCAATGAACAGTGCTAAATAAGTGCCAATGATAGGTCTTTTCCAACAGGTCACTGGAATTTATGCAGTGAAAACTCAGAAGGATATCCTTACTAAAAAAAAAAAAAAGAAGTTATTTAACAGTGTGATTTATTAGAGTAATTAAAAAAAAAAAAGCATTTAAAACATATCTTAGTAGGGCTGTGCAAAGCATTCCTAGGGGCTTTATGATGCAACTGATGCGTCCATCTCCAAAACACGAACGTAGCACACCCTCACAAAGGGTTGTTATGGCCACTTTGAGGGACACTCCCCCCCATCTGAGCCACTTCTTAGTCATCTTACACAGATTTCTGATTAGTAATAATAAACTCGCTCTTATTAATAAGACTATGTACTGTCTGGGGAACCATTTATAGCTATAACAGAGCATCAGAAAAATGGTTTGTGTGGAAACAGCAGAAAAAGAAAGTAAAGGAAAACCTGATGTATTTAACAGAACCAGCTCCCAATGGTTTGAGAAACTCTGTGCATTTGCGGTATTTTTCACTCTTTCACTGTATCTACTCATTTCTCCTCATTTATTTGATTCAAAGTATCTGTGAGGCAGAAGTTGAAATGTGTTTTTAATATGGATGCTTTTTGAAATGTTGTGGGAGTGAAAATAGTTGCATACATAAAGCAATAATTGATAATCCAGCTAAAGTTTAGTTCTTAAGATATACTATTTGAAATAAAATGTACAATGGTGCTTAAAAGTTTGTAAACCCTTTTGAATTTTCAATATTTCTGTGTAAATATGACCTAAAACATGATCTGTTCTCCACACAAGTCGTAAAACAAGATAAAGAGAACCCAGTTAAACAAATGAGTAAAAAACATTATACTTGTTCATTTCTTTACTGAGGAAAATTATCAGTTTTAAGAAATTATGTGGCCCCAAGCTTCTAAACTTTATGAATAATAAAAAAGATGGTTTCTTTACATTCCAGCGGCTTTCTAAAATAAGCAGTACGGTATTTCAGTCCATATGTGTGTACAACGTTTTAATCATTTTCTATAGACTTGTTTTCATTGCTGCCAACAATTTATGTTGTTTCTAATTACATAAAGAAAGTAGGATAATATTTTTGAAATGTGTATATTATTCAAAATGGTAAATTAGACATACTTTTTGATACTTCCTAATGAATAAACATGAACATTGAATTTTACTTATCCATAGCACTTTCTCATTTGTAGCAAGCATTAATATATGCATTTAGAGCCTCTTCTCACGCTCTGGAAAAGATGTTTGAAGAAAACCTCTTGCTTTCTCTTCTTTTTTTTTTCTCTAGCTAGTTGAATTTGTCAGCTCAATGCCTTTTGAAATGTTTAAGTAAAATAACATGTTTACTGGATACAGCATTGTATAGAAGACTTGCCTTCTGCTGCACAATATTAAAAAATACAGAGCCTCCTGCAATACAATTTTTCTTAAAATAAAACATTCAATACTCTTTACATTTATTTTAGCTGCTCTTATAATTAACTACAATAAAATAGATTTTTATTGTAAATTAGCATGGACTTTGGGCCTTTGGACTGAAGATCACTGAGGTTTCTTTTACTGGCCAGTTGCGGATACTGATAGATGTCTCCGGCCTCTTTCTACAGATATTGATGAATGTGGAACTGGGAGGCACAGCTGTGCCAATGACACAATTTGTTTTAATTTGGATGGTGGCTATGATTGTCGATGCCCACATGGGAAGAACTGCACAGGAGACTGTATCCATGAAGGCAAGATCAAACACAGTGGACAAATCTGGGTGTTGGAAAATGATAGATGCTCCGTTTGCTCTTGCCAAGTGAGTTGGGAGATCTGGGATTGTGAGAAAATAAGAAATGAGAAAGAGCGGAAAACAAATAGTTTTGGGGAGTTGTATGTGTCGTATGAGAGATATTAGTATTCACTGATTATCATGAAAATAATTATAGTTCATAGCATAGCTAGGACATCATATTGAAGAAGAATAATGGTCTACCTAACTTAGTGTTCTGTCTGACCACCTTGGGATGATCACTGTAAAAAGATTTTTTTTTTAATTGTAAAGAATATTGTCTTTAGGTCATCCTTATTGCAAATTACATATGATTTAAAAAAAATTTAACTTTAATCTTTAGTACTGCAAACTACTGCAAAATGTTTTTTATTTTCCGTGTCATAATGATATACCTTAAGTGTCATTTTACTATATTTTACAATGACAGAGTGGCTATGTAATGTGCCGGCGAATGGTCTGTGACTGTGAAAATCCCACTGTTGATTTATTCTGCTGCCCTGAATGTGATCCAAGACTGAGCAGTCAGTGTTTACATCAAAGTGGGGAGATCGTATACAATAGTGGCGATACATGGGTTCAAAACTGTCAACAGTGCCGATGTTTGGTAAGTCTTCCTACTATTTATTTATTTGTTTATTTATTTTTATTTGTTCTGAATTTATTAGCTGCCCAACCCAAATGGACTCTGGAACAATTAAAGTCACATTATTTATATGTAACTTAACTGTTGTTTATTAAGTTACATTTCTTTCAGTTACATTTTTATATAGTTCACTTTGCTATTTCTCAAATAATCTTTGACTAAAGTTTCAGCTAAGTGGCAAGTGCACATCTAATTACAAAATAAAAATAACTTGCTGTAAAATATTTGATTTAAGTAACAGATAGAAATCATGAATCTTGGCATCAAAAATAATGTATTGGTATTAATCATGGTTGAAAGAAAAAACTGAAATAGTTAAAAATATACTGCAAATATTGATTTAAATTAATAAAGTTTAGATACAGCACACAGAGAAAATTTCCCCAAGATAATGTGCAATTCAGATCATTAGGCATAATTAAAGCCTATTGAAACACACAGTAAAACATTAATAATTCAGTACTTAATTACAGAACTTGATATGATTTAGGCATACCTAGTGGTTTCTGAAATGGACCTTTAATTGTTTAATGTTGATTGTTCTGTTTCAGCACTTGTAAACAAATAGACATTACAAATGAACAATGGATAAGATACACTGGAATCCTAAACAAGTCATGTTTATTCAAAAATATGTTCCATGGGGCTCAGTAGGACTATTACTGATAGCGAATCACAACCAGAAAATATCAAATAGATTTGCCTCTTAGGTGGTCATTATTCTTTGTTGGGCTAAACATAGACTTCCGTTTTAATTCGTTAAGCCTGGTATAAGTACTATGAAGTCCTGATCTAATTTAAGATGCTCTGTGGGAGTAAATCCCCTCAAAACAGGTGCCTTTTAGCAATGATATGAAAGAGCTACGTATACTCTCTATTTTCTTGGAAGTGCTCATTAATATCTTATGTGACTGCTCTTAGCATATAGCTCATGACGGCAATCAGATGGTTTTCAACATTTCATGATTTAGAAAACAATAACAATGATTTTAATAATAAATAAATAACATTACCCGATAGACGATAACTTTTTGTCTATTTTTTTTAAACAGCAGGGGGAGGTTGACTGTTGGCCTTTGTCTTGTCCAGAGATGGACTGTGAATTCAGCATACTCCCTGAGAATGAGTGTTGCCCACATTGTGTCACTGACCCTTGTCAAGCAGACACCATGAAGAATGATATCACCAAGACCTGTCTGGATGAAACTAATGTAGTCCGATTCACTGGATCATCCTGGATTAAGCATGGCACAGAATGCACTCTCTGCCAATGCAAGGTATGGGAAAAGTAGATATTTCTCCAGCTGGCTTTATAATGTAGAAGTATTATAATCTTTGTTCTGGAAATATGTTCCTACATCTGAAGTAGATAGCATTCTGTTTTGTTAAAATCAGTTGTTTATTGTTAATCTGTTAATTTAACAGATTATTTCTGTTAAATAATCAGGATAATTGTTTAGATGCATTAGTAGTATCAAGATTTTTTTATTTTTTCCAGGCACTACATGAACTTGGGGGTTAAAATAGCAAATATCTCTCTTTTATTGAAATATATTGACTCAGCTATGATAGCTTGCTCCCATTATTTTAAAGATACTCAACAATATCAAATTATTTTCCAGGATATGTAAGCTTAGTACTGCTTCACACTTCTCCCCCTGCAAACAAATTGCCAGAGAGGATCATGGTGTTTTGATGATGACAATTTGTTTATATTTTAGAAAATCAGAAATGGAAATACAGTTATTATGTTAGTCAGGAGTAATTTAGGTCTAGCATTTATTGGGGTCAAGAAGAAATGTTGACTCAGAAGGAATGATGAAGAACTTACATGATTCCAGTAGTTTTAAAAAATACATAAACTATGGGAAAAGTGGAATACAATAGTTTTTCACTTATAAATATACACATGAGATAAAACATATTTTGTATAATTTTTCCTGAACTGAAATAAGTGGGATTCTCAAAACTTGATACTTTATTACAGCCAAAGACCAGCATGAAACAATACAATTAAAAAAAAAAAAGAATCACGTGACTAAGAGGGGGAAATATGCAAAACCATTCAAGGTATAATTAAACCTGCCACAGTAGGTACTAATAACCCAAATAATAACAAGTCAAAACTATAGAATATATAATAGGCAAACTAATCCTGAATAAAGATAAAATATATAACATCAAGATAAAACTAGAACCATTATAAAATTGTCATATATAAAATAGACTATCAATACATAAAACAGGAAAATGATTCTCACCTAGCCCCTAGAAAGCAAAAATATCTCTTCTGAATATCAAGAATTTCATCTTCATTCTAGGTCATTGTATCTTAAAATAACTGCTGTAATCTTTGCTGTATGATCCTGGGGAAATGAGTATTATACAAATACCATACAGCTGCAATATGCTGTAGTGAATTCAGTGCAACAGAGAATCATATGGCACATCTGTAACTAAATGAACAGTATAGATCTGTGTTCAATCTAATTTATTTTCATTGGCCAAATTTTCTTCTATTACTCATAGAACCGCTTTCTATGAACAAAACTATCACTGTTCAAAGCAGTTCTATTTATATATAAATCATGATGCTTGTCATTTTGAAAAGGTGACTTTCTTTAGCCAAAAAAACGTAAGATAGAATGTTTTCAAGAACCAATTGTTAAGGACTGTTCACATCAGAAAAAAGGTTAGTTAACTCTCCATTTCTCTCTCTGCTTTTGAAGAGAAATCAGTTTTATATTATTTTTTAAAATAAAAAAGACATTTATCAAATGAGACATAGAGTAGTTAGGGTTAGGATTAGGCCAGTCCTGAAAGTATTGGGCTTTTAAAGTTTTTAATAGATGAAAGAGAATTTTTGCTCCTGCTGTACATTGTAGAAGTTATTGCATCAGTCCAACCCTATTATGGATTTTTGATTTTTATTTTTTTGTTGTTCAAGAAAGTGAAATGCTAATGAGACTTGTACTTGCCAGCATTCATTTTACCATGGATCTGCTGGAAAGAAAACACCCAAATCCACTATCAGCAGGACAGTGGTAGAATTCTTTTAATTCATAAACAAAAGAGGTACATGTTTAATCTACAAGTGGTCCTTCTAGTAGAATGTTTCACCTAGAAAAGAATTATGGAGTAATTTCATTGTACTAATAAATCCAGCAGATAACTTAACTGAGAATGCCAGAATGCACCTGGGACTGCAGAAGTTGTGCCAGCCATCAAAGAGCACATCAGTGTTCTGTATGAAATGTAGGCTAAAATTTCTCCATCAGAGAGCCTTGACTGGCTTAGAACTGCCTGAATTGTAGCCTAAGATAAATGGAAGATAGCAGGATGGAGATCTAGAAGCATGTAAATGGGATGGTTCTAACAGATACTGGCTGATGTGTTTAAATACTCTCCTCCTTGAAATAGAATATTTTTGTGCTTCATTTTATAACAAAGTACTTTTAAAAGCTATGTATTTTAAATGCCATATTTTAAATAACTCCAAAGGGCTCATTAAAATTAGACTCATTACTCACTATATGAGCACTATACCATAGAATAGAATATTAATGCTGTAGGTGTTCTTGGACTGCATTTCAAGGAAGGCAGTGGGATAAGACTTCATCAAACTTACAATAAAGTAATTTTACTCAAAATTCCTAAAATTTCAGAAAAGCTGCATTAGTTAAAGCTGTTTTAACACAAAATATTTTGAAATTGCAAGTGGGAAAAAAGTGAATGCTAGAATGGTTCTTGAAGGCCTTGTCATACCAGATCTCAACAAAATAAATAAACAAATTGACTAAATGCTGTGCTAAAAAGTAGGTATGGTTTCAAGGATAACACTATAATAAACTTTTAGCAGAACACTGCCATCAGAAAGAGATGTTGTGTCAATTTCTTGGTCCTTGGTCGTCAAATATATTTAGGGGTTGTGAAGTGTATTTGATCGTTTTTCATTCCCATTAGTAGCAAAAAGTAATGTGAAGGCAGGGGAATGCAAATTTGATAGTATCATGTAACAGAACTAGATAGATGCTTTTTTTTTTTTTTTGCTGCAAAATAATATGTAGTTTCTCCCTAACTGCTCCTGAGATCAAGTAGTAGTCTATAAGTAATGAGTTGAAGGCTGGTGTTTATTTAAAAACTAACAGGTTGTTGCATGACTATATACACTATAAGATATATAGCTGGGATAGAGAGGGCAAAATTATCTCTGTTATATAATTTATTTAACCAGGAGCCTTCTTCTGTTTTTAGAAAATGGTCAAAGTAGAATTTAAATTTGAATGAAGGCACAAACAGAATAGAATTCAATGTACAGTAGGTTATTTGTGTGGCACATTTATATCCCACCTTTCTTTCATCATTAAATTCCAAAAGGGATCCACGTTACATTCCTCGGTGGTTTCCAGAGAATCAATGTGCATAAAAGCTGGAATGCAGAGTCCCATTTATAACTTCGTTAAAATAAGTCAAGTGGAATTCTAGGCATGAACAGCTACATTAAGTGATGGAATTTTGTGAGCATTATTCTCCATTTTGGTTAACCCACCAACATTTAAGAGAAACATTATCCATTTAATAGAAATATAATCTGAGGCACATAAATCGATTCTGGATAGGTCACCTGTAGTATGTTAAAATATGCAAGAAAAAAGAAATGACTGTAATCCTGAAAGGTGATTACACTTTTAAATGCCATCTTTGCACAATAATAACTATAGCTGATGAGGCAGTTAGCTATGTCTGCTGCTATGGTGTGATCAAGAGGAATGGGAATTTTCAATCTAACTTGTAAACTGTGGTAAGAATTGAAAATATGACACACGATATGCACTTGCATCTGTAAAAAAATCTCTTTGATCAACAACTCTTAGCTGGATAGGTCACATTCTGCTTCCATCCCCACTTACAGGCATGAACAAGAATTCTTTCTCATTCACCCTTCAGTTGCAGCTGGAAGTTGTATCAAACTGCCATATTGGCCACTATTTCCAAGGTATTTGATTATGTATAACAAATGCATACAAGAAGGGTAGGTGGCATGCCCTGTTCCCAAAGTAATATTAAAACAGAGGTCATGAATATACAGCTGGGCATAGGCATCAAATAATTAAATGCAAAAAAAAAAATTGATTCAAGTATTCATTTTAAGTGATATTAGTCATTAAAGGATAGCAAATGAAAGTTGCTGGGTTAATTTACCTAGAACATCAAACAAAAGGGAATGCAGAATGATTGAACAAGTGCTAATGAATTACTTTTCCCTCCATTTCAGCATTTCTAGGGTTATATACTTAATTTAAACAAAATTCTGTTGAATAATAAATCACTTTCTCATCTTTTTTCTAGAATGGGCATATTTGCTGTTCTGTGGATCCACAGTGTCTGCAGGAACTGTGAAACAGTGTTGTAATCCTGGGCAATTTATGTTAAAGAACATTCCTTCACTAAGGACTTACAGACCAAAAATGAAAAAGCCAAAACTGGAACAAGATTGATTTGATCTAATTAAAGTATAGAAATGCTATGAATTGAATGAGTTGTCTGTTTCCTCAGTCTGAATGAAATGTGTATGACTAGGAACGAGTTCAGATGTACAAACCTATGTTTTGATGTGAGGTTCAAGTTCTGGTTCATGTTTGTGTTTGACATCATTATGTAAAATACTGGACTACCAAAATATATATATATATATATATGACATGCACATAAAGATGTCAAAAGCCTCAAGCAGGGAAATGCTCACTAAAGTTTTGAAACTGCACCTCATCTATGGCCAAAATATATTTTTTAATATAACTACACTTGACTCTATATCAATTTGTTTGATTGGTAACTGCAAGAATCCCCAAAGTAATATCTTTTGGAAACAGAATTTTTTTTGCAACATATGTACAGCTCTGAAAAAAAAAGAAACCATTGACTGTAAAAAATAATGCACAGCATGATTGCATAATGTTTTCTTATGAAAAAAATCATCTGTATTTCCTCATTTGATTGCACTTACTCCTTGATTGAATTTGTCCAGTATATATTCCTTGTGCAAAATTTAAATAAATATTTCTCTTACCTTATATTTTTGAGAATCTGTTGGTGCTTTGACTTACAGAATGCATTCATTATTGAGGTCCATCATCACATAATTATATTTACAATAGGGGGAAGATGAGGAAGCACACTTTGTTTTTTTTCTGCCATTATATCCTCATTATCTCACTGTCTTCCATGTGCTGGATGGAAGAGATCCAATGTCCAAGCAGACCTTCTGTGCAATAAAAGATTCTAAACTGGATGAGAAGACTAAGTATGCTCCCCATTGCATGTGGTGTTGACCAACTGTGTAGAATATAGTTGTGCACATAGAACTTGTTGCTCCTATACATTTCCCCATTTTAAAAAATGTTTTCTAATCAATCATTTTATTCTTCACTTGCACATGATTTATTAGGAAAAGAGTCCCATATTCTAAAATGAAAGCATGGGAATAGCCTTACACAGAATCTGTCCTTTGTCCATCTAACTCAATAATGTCTAAAGTGACTGAAGCAGTTCCAGCTCTCAGACCAAAATCTGTAGCAGACATGATCTACCTTCTGTGTAGATCTTGTGATCATGTTCTGGCCATGTGATCCCGAGCAGAACAATCGAAGACTATCCTGTGCTTCCCAGTGAATACCAATAAATCCTATATATACCATAGACACTGCACAAAGAAAGTAGAAATATACATACAAACACAAATAGCATATAACGTCACATGGAAGAAATACAGATGCCTAATATAGTCACTGCTGATAAAGAGGTTGGAAAGAACTCCAGAAGCTATGCTCTGCATGCTTTCCATACCTTGTTATTGCTTTGGACCCAACAAAATGTTAGAAAGAAGGGACTCTATCTGTCCATCCATTAGCAGGATAACTTTCCAAACAGAAGAGAGAGGACCAAACTTAGAGAAGCCAGTATATGAAAATAATTCTATAGAACTATTTGCAGATAATCCCATGAGGGCAAAGTAGCTTCTGGCCTCTGTGTTCAGTTCTGTAAATATAAATAGAATATAAAAGTCAACCTACCAAAAATCAACAGCAAAGGTAAATAAAGATCTGAAATATTTAAGAAAACATGTAATGGTATGTGGGAAAGACCTTGGGAGATGAGAGGAAGAGCTGCAGACTAGACAACCATCACGCAAAAGGTATCTCAGTCCACAGAAGCAAAAGGGGCATAGGAAGCATTTCAGAAGGGAGCCTCCCTAGTTTTTTGGAAAGTAAAAGTAAAGGAGGGGGAAAATACTTTCAGACTTGCAAGATTCTGTTACTGTAAGCTTACAATAAAAGTAGTGTTAGTACTCATAGTTTATGCTTCTTGTCTGAACTACCTTGAAGGTCTGGAACGTGTAGCGTTCCATTATGCACTATGAAAATGGAACTTTTTCAGAAGGAATGTAGGTGCATGTGCATACTGATACACTCTGTCACACATGTGCTCCTCAAATGCTTGTCTGTGAATAGTATAAATGCTAAAGGGATTTTTCTGTTTTATCCACAGATTCTTCAAGCAGCAGAGTTCTTTCAGTATGAATGTATTAATACAGCATTTTCTGTCCACTAATAACTGTCAACAGATCATGTTTTGCCTTTAGATACCCAGTTCCAATGATAGTTGTCTACAATGGTGGTCATGTGTTGATATGCAAGGGTCTAATTTGACAAAAAGCAATGTTCTAGAAGGATTAAATTATAATTTATTATTGGTGTGTTAGTAACGTGCAATAAAAGGAAAGCTGACATTCTGCTTCAGGAAGGCAACCACAGATTAATCTTGTTAGGTCTTATGGAATTTATACATGGAAAGAATCAGGTTATTGTATAACCGTTATTGTATAACCGTTATCGTATAACTATAGCTAACTCCTGAATCTTCTAAAAGTACTAAAAAAAGAATACTGAATTAATCTGGAAGGCGGAAGTGATCCAAAAAATCTTGCTTGCGTGGCTCCTTGGGTCCCAACAGATAACATGAATTACAAATGAGAATGATCTAAAGAACTGTTGTTCAATGTTTTGACGCCCAAGGCTCTTTAGTTAATAGGAAGCTCATTAAAATGGTCAGTATGTTTCAGAGATAACCACTAAGCCTTTGTTGCTTATTTGACCCCACAATTATTCAGATTTTCTTGAAATCACAGTGACCTCAGCCTGAGTATGCCAAGCTTCTAGACTGTTTTACTTATTAATTTCAGCAACCTAAAGCTTTCATTATTCCATTTCAAAATATTATATAATGCCCATTACCAGAAGTAACATACCCTGTTACTCAGTGGGGATTAATGGCAGCTTAGCCATCTTTGAACACCAGTGACGACATTGCAGCTGATAGGTGGCTGGCAGCAAGCACCAGCCACTCAACTTGCTCCGAATCAAGGAGGAAGTGAGAAATCAACCCATCTGCCCTCCGGGCGGCTGTTCCTCAAAAGCTAATCGTGGAGATAAAAGCCTATGCAAACGACTTTTGGGTTGAGTGGCTGGGAGGCGGGGGATCCATCTCTGTTTGCAGCTGCAGTGCAGCCTTTCATGGACACTAGAGCCGATCAAACCTTATTTCTAAACACTGTGGATCATAATTATTTTTTAACTTAAGAAAGACGTTCCTTGGCAACAGATAAGTAATTCTCTTGAGGCTTATCCTTATTTCTGGGACTTTATTTTTAAAAGAAGAAATAGAGCTTTAATTTGAATGTGATTAATTTGTAAAAAGTGGGATGAAAATTAGTTGCAGTCTTAAAAAAGACTTAAAAGTTATTTACAGTGAAAAAAGATTTATTTGTTAGAAGTTTATTTTTCTATGAAACTCCATTTGCAGTAATGAGGTTTGCTTTTTCCATGGGAAAGTTTCTTGTTGTGCTGGATTAGGTTTGTTGATTGGCTGGGTTTCTAAAACAGAAAAAGACTGCAACTTGATCCCTGTGTGTTTCCTTTGACGCGTGCCCGCAATTCCAGCTTGAAAGACATCAGAGGGCGTGAACTGTCAGTTTACTTTCTCTTGTATTTAATTATACCCGGTTAGTCATTTTACTTGTGAAAAGGAAAAAAAATAAAATAAAAAGATCATGGTTACCAGGAAAGCAGTGGAAGAAATGAGAGAAAGAAGAGGCTCTGTAAAGCAACCATTAGAGGAGAAGATGGTCACTTTTAAGTTTACTTAAACCAATGTTTGATGAATTAGGAGCTAAATTTGCTACTTTGGAAAAAATGGAAGAAAGAATAGATAAGATGGACAGTTATGTGAAACAAATAGCTGGAGAGATGAAACAGATCTCTGGAGAAGTGAAGCAGGTTACTGAAAGAATGGAAATGTTGGCGAATAAAGCAGAAACCAGAGATCTTGAGTTGGAGAAAGGACTGGATAATGTAGATTTGTTGGAGTTAAGGGAGAAGGATTTTTGCTTGTGATTTAGAGCTATACCAGAAATTTCAGGGGAAGATATCAGAAGGAGAGTAGTTCAAGCATTGTCAGAATTTTTAAATTGGGAAGAAGAAAAAGCTGAAGAAGAGATTAATAAAGTGTATCAGGTAAATTCACATTATGCAGCAATAAGACATGGACCAAGAGATATATAAGTACATTTCATAAAGAAAGGGACTAGGGATCAAGTTCTGCAATGGCATTTTAATACTAGACTGAAGATTGACAATGTAGATATAATTATGTTAAAATAAATTCCCATTAGAATGTTATGCAAGAGAAAGGAGGGGTTTTTTTTGTTTTTTTGATGGAGGTATTGAAACAGAAAATGATTTTGTTTCATTGGGGTAAACTGGAGGGAGTGATTTTTATTTTCCAGTGCAAAAGATTTTGACTGAATTCTGTTCATAAAGCCAAATAATTTCTGGAAAAGTTTAAAGAAGACCTGAAGGAGATTTAAATGGAGGAGAGTGAGCAGACAATCTCAAAGGCCAAACAGGTCCAAGAGGAAGATGAAAAAGAGGACTCTGAGTGGATGCCACAGGTATAGACTTTTCTAAACTATTGGCTTAATTATGGATTACAAATGGCTAGCATGGAATATAAATGGAGCAAATGCTCTGGGTGAGATGGGTGGCATGTAAATTTAATAAATAAATAAATAAATAAATAAATACTTCGCAGAAGAGAAGTATTTCATCATTTAAAAAAACTTAAGCAAGATGTAATTTCTTTACAAGAAACTCATATTAGAAAAAAGGACATAAAATAGTTGAGTTATAAGAATTGGGGACAAGAATTTATTTTGGCAGGTCCAAAAAAAGTTAATG